AGGATGACTGGAGGATAGCACAGATGACATGACCTGAGGGGGGGGCAGGGGGCGAGCCTACATTCTGGAAGTATTTGGAGTGCCAAGGTTCTAGGTGGGAGGGAGCTGAGCTCTCTAAAATCATCTTCATTCCATATCCAGTCCATAAATCCTTATTGAGCATCTGGGGTGTTTTTAAAGTTACCAATGCTCCAGCCGCCCCAGAACTCCTGAATCAGAATGTTAAGGGGTGAGGGTCCTACCTATTGTTAAATGTCCCCCAGGCAATTTGTTGGTGTAGTTTGTAACCACTGGCCTTGCATTCACTTAACCAGAGACCACGTTTCTCAGCGATAGTGGGGTTTGAGCCGGGCCTTCAATCAGAGTGAAATTTGGAGAGAGCTGAAAGTGGGACTTGGGTCCTGGTAGGGGGAGGGACGTTGCTGAATGGACCTGGCCAGCTGTGAGGGGGCTGGTAAGTGACTCTGTAGGGAAGCAGCAAGGAAAGACGCCCAGAGGGGCAGTATTTGCATAATTTTTACCTTTTGCATAGATTTATGTGTTCTCTTCAGAAAGGCTGAACTCCAAAAAAGCAAAATTCACTGAGGTTTAGGGGGTGTCCCATACAGCAAAAAATTCCTGTGTCTTGCGGTTTAGCAAGTACGCTTCCTCCTTACTCCCAGCGTCCCAGTACACAAGCCTTCGGACCATCTGGGGTTCCACGCAGAGAAGGCATGTTGGCTGAAATGAATTAAGTTTGATAACTGAAGTTCTGAACTCATTGTTCATTCATTCAGACATACTGCCTTCAGTCAGGTTGTTTGAATGCCCAGGCACAGCAAGGAGTCAGAGAGCTTCAGGTTCAGAGGAGGCTCCGCTTCCTGAGTGCGGGGCAGGGATGAGGAAGCGTTGGAGAGGTGGGCTCTAAAGGCGCTGCCTTTCCTGCAGTTGGCTGGTGGGTAAACCTACTTCTGCCGTTCTCCTACCTGTAAGGTCAGAGCTGAGAGAGGTGCCGTGTTCTGAGGTCACCACCAGGGGTCAGGCGCTCCCGCTCTATTCTCCAGTGTCAATCTCATCTCCTGGCTATTTTATTCTATTGAGGAACCCTCTTCAGTCCCCTGTGCTTCCCACAGCCCAGTGTTCTTTCTCTCTCACTTCTCACAGCCCATCACTCCCTCCTTTAGGTCATCCCATCCAGGCATCAATGGAAGGCCAGGGAGCCTCTCAACTACACAGCCTGACATTTCTCCTGACCCTTGGAGAGTCCCACAGCCTCTCTCACTTCCCCAATGTCACAAGTGACTGACGGGTAAACAAAAAGTTCCTTCTACTGTCTCACCTCTTCTCCTCTTGCTGCCATTCAGCTTAAGTTCTCTAGTTTTGTCTCCAGGCAAAAGAGGAGTGTTTGTGGGTTCTTTCCTTCTAATGAGTTTTCTTATGTGGGTCAAGTCAGCAAGCACTTCTCCAAGCCCAAGCCCCTTTTGTGGCCACTAGAACCCATTGCCAAGAGCCCCTCCTCTTTGATGGGAATGTTCTTACCTTACTCCAGGACAGCATCTCCACATCTGTGGAACCTCGATCTCCCTGGACCCAACCTCCTCCTCCTTTTGCTGTCTGGCACATCTCAGACCCTGCTCCTTCCGGTCCTACCTTCCCACCTTTCATATACCCTCCACACTCCCACCTTCCCCGTCCACCCGCCACAAGGGAGTCCCTTTAGAGGTTCAACTTCTCTAAATGGTTCCTTCCCATCTTGACCCTGTCCTCATACTCCTTCCTCCAGGAAGCCTTCCCTCTCCGCAGCCTAGGCTCTAGAGACACACAGGTATGAGGGAATGCTGGCTCTGCCAGGTACCAGGCTATGCTACCTTAACCTCTCTATTCTGTTTCTTCACCTGTCAAACAGGGACAGTGACACACGGCTCTCAGATATGCTTTGAGGCCTAAGTGAGGTGATGGATGTGGAAGTGCTTAGCACAGTGCCAGGTCCATAGCAAGTGCTCGGGGAGATAGTCCCCTGTCCTGTCCTTCATGTATAGCTGCCACCCCCCACGGTCCCCCAACTCTGGCCTGCTGATGGGAACCTATCCTCGTCTCCGTGCACTGGCTGCTTCTGCCCCTCCCACTGCTTCTTGGCATAGAGGGGAAGAACCAGGGGGCTCAGGGACATGGCAGCCACCATGCTGAGGAGATGGGGCCAGACGTGGTGCTGTGTGGGGACCTCAGAGCAGAACTCGGTCTGTAGGGCTGTCCTCCCTCTCGTATGCCCCAAACCCGGAGTATTGTCCACTCTCCTCCTCCTCCTCCTCCATGGAATGATTGGGGGCCACTTCTGGGCTGGGGAGGGGAAAGGGCTCTCCCAGAGTCCCCTGAGGTTGTGAGAGGACCAGAAGGCTGCTGGGAGGTGAAGGAGAGGAGGCAGGGCAGGGGGAATACAGACCGCACAATATTCCGACTCCCTGCTCCTTTCCAACCCACCCCCACCCCTCCACCAAACACGATCCCTGGGTTAATTTTTAGCATTGCAGCTCGCACATTAGTCACTCCCTGTCACCCACCTACACGGCAGGAGGCTGCTGTGCTAGTACTGTCATCCCATCAGCTGAGTGGTGGGATCCAGCCCCGCCCTGGGCACCCCCTCACCCTCCCTTAGGGGCGCACAGAGATCCAGGAGCCCCCTTCAGCCTGGGTGAGGAGTACTGACATCACTCCCAAGACAAGCTGCAAGGGGGGACAGGAGAAGGAACAGGCTGGTAGGAGAGGGGCTGGGCATGCACTCTGGGAGGAGAAAGCCAGGAAGGCCTTTGCAGCCCCTACCCCAAGCAAGGTACAAGGCTATGCCCAGGCAGCTGGTCTCCTGGCAGCCCTGGGCTTTGGAAACCAAGGTACGAGGAGCCCCTCCCCTAGACCTGAGCCCCTGGGAGCTTCTGTTTGTCTTCGTGGCAGAGCAGCTGTTCAAACAGGCAGCTTGGGGAAGTTCCATTTTCTTAATCAAATGTCCTCCCTCCCTTGGACCAAGGAAGGCGGGGCAGCCAGGTGCAGGTGCCCTGGCTAGAGCTGACACCCAGCCCCAAAGGGGTTGCATGCGAGGGCCCACGGATGCCAGCTACAGATGGAGCGGAGGGACCGCCTTACCCCACCCCAGGGCTGAGAGGTGGGGAGGTGGTGGTCACTCCTGTGCCGCTGGCCCCAAAGAGGCATTCCCATTTATTGTGTGCCAAGCAGTGTTAGGTCCTGGAGGTACAATGTAAACAAGGCAGGATTCTCTGCCTTAGGAAGGCAAAAGACAGCCGCAAACGAAGCCGGTAGAATTACCAATTGGGAGTGTTATTAAAAAAAAAAAGAAAAATAGAGGGCTCAAGATAAAGAGTAATGGGGACAGGGAACTACTCTTGATCAGATCAGGGAAACCTCTCCGAGGAGATGATGTTTAAACTGAGACCTGAAGATGGAGGAATCAGCCTCGGGAAGAAGAGTATTCTAGGCAGAAGAGAGCAGCATTGGCAAAGGCCAGAGGCAGGAAAGAGCTTGACATATTTGAGAAATAGTACTAGAAAGAGTAGTGTGGCTTAAATGTGATAAGTGACATGGAAGGAGAAATGATTTGAGCTTGAAGACAGATCCTGGAAGGCCTCATGCCGGGCATCCCAATATAGTTGCAGAGGTTGTGTACTGCACAAAGGTTCCAGCTGCCAAATGGCTGGGCCTGTGTGGCTGCTGTCAACCCAGAGGAAGGGATGCCTTTTTGTAATTTGTCTGCCCAGAGGGACGTGTTATGGACAGGTCATGGTAGAGTTTGGATTTTCTTTTTTTAATTCCATGGGAAACCGTAATGGGTTTTAAGCAGAGGAGGGTTGTGATCTGATTTCCTTTTTGGAAAGCTTGCCCTGACTGCTTGCTGTGTGAAGGGATGGTCCAGGGGCAAGAGAGAAAGCAGGAAGCTCATTCAGGAGGCACATGCTGTGGTACAAGATGTCCTGGCTGAGGCAGGGTGCCACTTAGACCTCTACAGCCACCCTTGTATGTTGGTTACTGCCAGGCAGGAGCACTGCTGTGTGAATCTCAAGTCTCAGGCCCAGTTCTGCCACTTACTTTCTGTGTGACCCTAGACAGGTTGCTTGGTGATGCTTTGAGCACACTATTTATTGAGGTTCTGTAACATGCTAGTATTGGGCAGGAAATAAAGCAGTGAGGAGGACAGAAAAGGTCCGTGAGCCCTGATACAAGGAGAGTACATCCTAATGGGACGGGGAGCCATGCAAAGAACAAAACCCATGAAAGTCCAGACAATTTCAGATGGTGACAAGTAGGATGATGGAAATAAAACAGAACTCCATCACTGTGGTGGGTGTGACTATTTCAGATGGGGTGGCAAGACCTTTGGGAAGCAGAGCTGAGGACTGAAGTAGCCAGCTATTGAAAGAACAAGTGCAGAGATCCTGAGGGGAGGGGGTCTGAAATGTAATGGGTATAGCAAGGCGGCCAGAGCAGGCGGCAAGAGGGGAGACAAGGAAATGAGGCAGGCAGGGGTCAGATATTCCAGCATAGGAGCTATAATTTTATTCCAGGAGTGCTGGAAAACCATTGAGAAGTTCTAGAACAAAAGAGTGATCAGTGATTTGGGCCTGTCACAGGTTGGCTGGATGATGGCTAAGGTCTCTACAGGAGACCCCAGACCCTGGGAAGAGAGAGTGCCACAGAGACAATTAAGGCCTATAGATGAGATCTGGCCAACACCTGTTGTGGGTATTTGGGGAGGGAGGCTCAAGATGCACTGAAACAAGAGCCCCAAGTTCTGAAGAGGGTGTGGGGCCTCCAGTTCAGGCTTACACATGTACGTTAAAAATTCCCCCGACTATTTCCCTAGCTGCAGGCTCCAAGTAAATAAGATGTAAAATGTGTGTGTGTGTCTGTGTGTGTCCACCTGTGTGTTGGGGGGCAGGGTATGCAATGGAATCAGAGCTTGTCTGAGCCCAATCCTGCCCCTCAGGCAGTCACCACACTGACACAGATGCCAAAAAAAACCAAAACAAAAAACCCGTCAATTTTATAGTTTGTAGTTCAGAAGCAATACGCAAAACGGTAGAACCACCTGTGCTATCCCCACCCCACCTGGACATGCCGGTTCCTGTCCCCCTAGGGGCAGAGAACACAGGACCCCTTCTTGGCAGGACCCAACTTAGTTACAGCCCCCCCACCCGAGGGGGGAGGGCAAGCCCTTAGGGGTCAAGGCCAGGAGCAAAGGGGACCAGCACCTTAGGTCCCCTCAGGGGCCCACTGGTTAACTCGAAGTGTGTGTGTGTGTGTGTTTATGGTGGGGAGCAACAGACCATAGGCCATTTCTCCCCAAGGCCAAGGGTGGGGAGCAAGTAAAGCTGAGGAGAGGGCTTTGTGGACAAAGGTCCCCCCCAGGAGGAATTTTCCTGGACACCCCACAAGGCACTACTGACCAGATATAGGATGGAATGCCCCATCTTTGGACCCAAAACCTCTCCCAACCCCGACATCGCCTGATTCTCCCCTGCACTAGCCCCCACTGTGGTTTAGGGGAAGAGGACTAAAGGGGTCTGAGGCCTGGGTTCACCACTGGATAGCGACAAGTTCAGAACCTAGCAGGCCAGCCAGGCTGACAAGGACCCTCTCCCGCTGCTCTGCACTCCTGGGGTCCCCTCGGCCAGGCACCTGTCCCACCCCACCCCTTCGCCCCCTTTTTGCTCTAGTTGGAACGAATAAATAAATAAATACCTCCCCCCGCCCGCCCCTCCCCTACAGCTGGCTCTCCTCCTCCTCCAGGGAGCGGTTGAGTCCGGGGATGAACTTGAGCAGCCGCCGGCGGAAGCTGCGGTACTTGGTTTTGCGTAGACCGGGGCCACACAGGGCCTGCTCACGGGCCTCAGTCCAGAGGGTGCCTGGCGCACCCCCTCCGCCGCCGCCCCCAGGGCCGGTGCACCGCACGCTGGCGCTGCGGCTCAGCCCTGCCCGCGGCCCCGAGGTTAGGGCCTCAACGGGGCCCAGGCCAGACAAGCGGGCGGGGGGCGGTGGCGGGGGCATGGGCAGCTCAGCGCCCTCAAAGAAGCACGTGTGGTAGACGGCATCGTCTGGGTCTCCCACAGCCTGCTGTGCCACCCCACGGGGGCCCCCGGGCGCAGCCAGCAGGGGCCCAAAGGGCAGCGAGCCGGGAAGCAGGCCAGCCCCATACAGGCAGGAGCGCACTGACTCCAACGTGTCATAGATGCTCGGGTCCTTCACCACGAGGCCTGCCAAGGCAGAAGATATGAGGGAGGGCTGTCAGAGAACATGGCTAGAACTCAACAACTTCCTACTGACCATCTGTGTGGCCCTGGGCAAATCACAGCCCTGAGCCCCACTTCCCTCCTTTGTAAAACAAATTAAACACTCAAATCATTATGAGAACCACTTATAATACAAGGCTCACCATCTTTGAGCCTTGGTGTTCCCATCTATAAAATGGGGATGGTACTAATACCTACTTTTAGAGGGGCTATTGTAAGAATAAACTAAAAATGTGTGTGCATCAGCCCAGGGTGGTATTGTACCCAAAGCAGTCGCTCAGCAAACTTTTCTTCAGTTTTGAGGGGGAAATAACTCATTAATTCTGAGGAGGGAGCATGACCGAGGGTATGAGGCTATCAGTAGAGGCCAAGCTGTCCTTAACACCCCAGTGTACTCACCGTGCACCAGCCGCTGCTCCTGCACCATGAGGGACCTGTATTCTCCCCACTTCTCATACAGGGTTTGCTGGAAGAGACACCACCCACCCCACTGTCAGGAGCCCCCAAGAAACCAGCAGGAGGTAGGTACAGACTGAAGGATCAGGGAGTACGCAGAGGAAACCTTAAGGTTAAAAGGAGGTTCAGACAGATAAATAACCCCCTGAAAAAGAGTGGGGCTTACAGGGACAGGGGCTTGGGAAGAGGGCAGAGGTTGGGCTTTATCTGGGCTGCTTTACCTTCAGATACTGCAGACGAGCCTCCAGTTCCGCCTTCCGAATTGACGTCCCATACAGCGTTTCCAGCCTGAGGAAGGTGGGGAATCAGAGGCTGAGTGAGTCCCCAGGGTGCAGAAATGCCAAGAGGCTGAGCTCAGGAGTGCTCAGGAGTCCTCAGGGACCGTGGCACCTGGACATACGACATACCTGAGAACGTTGCCTGAGGCCTTGATGATGTCAACAATCTCCCGATGCCGGATGCCTTCCACGTTTAGGCCATTGACGCTGGCGATAGTGTCCCCTGCCAGGCAGAGAGGAGGTCAGCATCTGTTCCACGGGGCATAACAGAAGAATTCCAGCCCCCTATCTTAGCCAGAAAGGGTAGGGGTCATATCCCCACAGAATACTCCTGAACTCCTCCCTGCCCCCACTCTTCATGGTTCTGGGGAGACCTTGTCCAGGCCCAGCACCCCAGCCTAGGGGTCAGGGCCCTCATACACTCACACCTGCACTCCACCCTCAGGAAGTTCTGTCCCCAAAGGCTGAGCCCTCCCAGCAACCTTGGGCTGCCCCCAGAGTTGGTTATTTCGGTCTAGCCCACAGGCTATCATGAGACCCAGCCAAGACAGGAAGGGAGCAGGGTGAGTGGCACCAAGCTAAGAACTAACGCTGGCCCCAAGCATGAGAGGCCTCAGCTTCCAATACCCTGTGCCACTGCAAAGCCTCCTGACCTCAGGCAGGACAAGCCACCATCACTGAGGGCTCATTTCCCATCTGTAAAAAGGAGGTGTGGGTCCCTGCTGTGGCTACCTTGGGGTACAGGAGGGAGAGTGGACGTGAAACTACTTTGCAAAGTTGCAACATACCACTTGGCTACCAGGAGCTACTGGTAAGTGGGCAAGGAGGTGAGGGCTTAGGGAAGAAAATGGAGATAGAATTGGGGGAGTGGGGAGGGTGGTCGATTCATGCAGTCTCAGGCTGCTCCTTCCTGGGACTTGGACCTCTAGATTTGGCCAATCCCAAGGGTCTCCTACTAAAGGCATCATTTCCTCGTTAGAGGTACCCCAGAGTTGGGCCTGGTCAGGTGCAGGATAGGCCTTGATCCCAATATCAGGCAGATCCAATGGAATGTTGCCCCTTCCCGAACTCCTGCCCATGTGATTGCCAGACTGCCAGCAGGTAGAATAGCAGCAGCAACATCTGGCATTTACCAGGCCCTGGCCCTGTGTCCAGGGGAACCCCTCACCACACTGTGATACTGTGATGTGAGGACATGTTATCATTCCCATTGACAGAGGAGACTGTTCAAGACCACACAGTAAATGGCAAATTTGCCTGGATCCAAAGCCTGGAGTTTATCCATTTTTTCTGGCCTTCCCAAAATAGAACAAAGGTGGGGAACGGATTTTAGAAGAGATTCCCCCGCCCCACCTCCCCATACTTGGGAGTAGGTCATACCCCTTTCCCAGAGCCCTGTGTCCTGGGCTCAGGCCCCACCTGGTGTGAGCCCAGCCCGCTGGGCTGGGCTGGACTCATGAACCCGGCAGACAAAAGTCACCATCTCCACGCGCCGCTCCTCCCGGTGGTGAAGGCCATAAGTCTGTAACAGACAAGGGGACCCTCAGCCCTTAGGGTGGGGTGGGGCGAGGCAGGGTACATCCATCCCTCAGACTGGCCTCCCAACCCCACTCGCTCTGCACCCCGTCTTCTCCCACCTGGATCTCAAAGCCGAAGGTCTGGTTTTCCTCCTTCTCCAAAGTCAGCACTTTCCTGTAGGAGACACGGGGGCCATCTCATCAAGACTGTCAGAATTTAAAGGAGCTTGGCAGTCCCATAGCATGGCCCTCCACTGGTGCTGGAGTCTCTTCTACCCAGGCAGGGCTCACTCTCTGCGGTGACAACTCACTCTCATCACAGGTTGCTGGAAAGTCCCTCCTCATACCCAGCTGAAGTCGACTTCATCCAATCGCACAGAATCAATCCAGCCTCCCGTAGGGGGAGGCAATGAGAATGTCGGGCCCCAGAGTGGGTAGGCTAGCCGAATTTTTCATCCAGTCCCTGCTTTCTAGTGAGCCCTAGAGTACCACTTACTGAGCAGCTGAAGCCCCAAATTCGGCCCCAGCCTGGAGCTTCCTCTACTCCACAGCCTCGGGGAGAGGGCTGGCCCCACCCCCAGAGGCCAGTCACGAGGCTCAGCCCAGACCACAGCTGCTCCTCCCAGCTGCGGTGGGGCCAGCCCACCAGATGTGAGGGCTGGGGGGAGGGGAACCTCGAGGCCGCCCCTTCCCGCACTGAAGGCCTGCCCACTGGACACAATGGTCTGGAGCCATTCCAAATCCTCGCCTGCTGGGGGAGCCCAGAGTTTCCTCTGCCCACCCCCACCCCCTTCCTTCCCTCCTAGCCAGAGGCAGAGTTAAAGCAGCTGCCAAAGGCCCCTTCAAGTCTCAAAGCTTCAGAAAGGCCCTGGAGACCCAGGTCCCCAGCTCCCAGCTTGACCCAGATAACCTCCAAATGCTGAGTGGTAACTCCTAGCCTCAACCTGAGCTCCTCTCCACTTTGAATGCAGGCCTTTCCCCCTCTGTGTGTGTTGGGGCGGGGAGCAGGGTGACTGAAACTTCTGTGTTTACCCCTGTGCTTTCTGGTTTTCGGGAAGGGTTGGCAAGCTTGTCTGCAAAGGGTCAGATAGTAAATATTTTAGGCTTTCTTTCTGGGGCTCATTCAGCCTCCGTCATATTGTTCCCTGTTGTTATTTTAACAACCCTTTAGAAATATTAAAACAACTCTTTGCTCAAGGGCCCAACAGGCCAATCTGGCCAGCAAGCCATAATCTGCTGATCCATTTTAGAAGAAACCAGGCCCAAATCAGGATGGGACATGGCAGAGTGGGGCCTGAGGTCAGCACTTACATCTAACCTCACCTCAGATCCTTCCTAAGAGGGCAGCCTCAGGAGGGGACCCGCACAGGACTGAGATTCTGGAGGCAGGGGCAGCCAGACGCAAGCAGCTAGACGTGGCTCGGCTATGGTCTGGGCCCTTGGGATTTGCTGGGCCCTGAAGGCTTCTCCTATTTCCTCCACTTCCCATATCCAGATTTGCCCAGGAAGGGACACCTGGCAAGGACTGGGGGTGGGCTGAGGAGCACCTGATGACTCAGAAGTCCCTACCTCCTTTCTCTGCCACCCCCTTCACACAGCCCACAGCCCCACATGCCCCTCACTCCTACTGAGGGGGCTGTGCCAAAAAAGTGGGAGAATGACTCCCCCTGGTTGGGATGAGATGCTGTGTCGTGCTGCCCCCCCCCGCCCCCACCTGGGGACCTCACCCTTTGGGCCAGGGCAGGGGCTGGGGTGGTGGTGACTCACCGCTGCTGTTCAGGACTCTGACTGAGATTCTTCCAGCGGAATCCAGAGCCCTGGGCGGGAAGATGGAGAGTTAGGAAGGAATAGGCAAGAAAGGTGCTCTCCTTGAGCAGATGCTGAGAGCCCTACTCTGGGAGTTCCCTCACCTGGGCTCCAGCCCGGGACCCGGCAACTCACTCCCTGTTGCCTGTCTGTCTGGTCCCAGTCACATGCCTGCTTTGGTGCTGGTATAACTACTTGCTGAGTGCCACTATCAGTATCACGCCATAGCTTTCTCCCTAGGCTTTACCCCCATAACTGGGACTTCAGGAACACAACAGTCCTCCTGGGTTCAGATGCATGAACCTCTAAACCCAGGCTGCGATTTGGTGTGTGTGTGTGTGCGCAGTGTTCACTAATCTCGAAAGAATAGTTTCCACCCCCAAGGGGCATGTCTGCAAGGGCTTAGGCCTTCCAGACTCTTCAAGTTAAGCCAGATGTTCCCAAAGAGTGGCAGGGGCGCTCCAGAGATGCCCTACTAGTCAGGTCTCTCCTAATGTCTCAGCCACAGACTGTGGCTTGGGGGAGCTGGGGTCAGAGGCCCAGGTCTGGAGGTCTGGCAATCCCAGCCTGAATGTGGAATGGCTGGGGACAGGGGGGCCAAGCTCCTCCGTCAAAATACAGGCTGTTTTTCAGGGACCAACTGTGGCTCCTAGCTGCAGGTGGCCAGCTGTGTCCAGCTCCACTTGGGTCTCTGGACATTGCCATATATTTGTTGTTTTCTGGGACAAAAAATCTTAGACCTCAAAAGTCTCACTTACTTAAGGAGAGAAATTGAGAGTTCTTTTTATTTTATTGAGGGGTGGGGGTGACAGTTGAGGGTTCCTGCTTCTTTAGGGTCCTTGAGAAACTAAAGCAGTTTCCCTCCCTAAATTATTGGTCCTTGAAAGAAGCCTTGTCCCAAACCAGCCCTTGTGCCGTGTGCCCCAGAGAGCCCAGGGCCTTCCTGGGGGGTGCCCTTGTTTACCCTCCCCCCCAGGCTGCCCCAAGGCTAGGAAGAGAAGAGGGCCCTCTTTCCCCAGAACCAAAGATTAGCCTCAGGGTTGGGGATAGTTCCCAAATGGGCCAGGGAGGAAGGACTAGGCAGCATAGAGAGACCCCTTTGTCTTTCCACCCTATTTTCATAAAATGCAAATTCTCAACAAGCTGTTCATTGTGTGGGGGGGAGTCAAGGGCCAGGGGAGGAGAAGGGGGGCTGGGTGAGGAAAGGCCACCAACCCCCTCTCCTTAACCTAGGTCTTGTGTCCCCCCTTCAGACAGCTCGAGCTCCCCTCAGGTCAGAGGAGAGGAAGGGGAGACTCAGAGAGCGGGCGCGGCCCGCATCCTTCCTGCCCCGCGGGCGCCCTGAGACCCCTCCCACTGTGTCCGGTCGCGGCCCAAGTCCAGGGAGCGGTGGCCTGGAACCCTGCACCTCAGACTCAGGGCAAGTCGGCAGGCCCCAAACCCAGGTATCTAGGCGTCCCCTCCGAGGGGCTAGCACTCTCTCCTACGCGGCGCATCCACCGCCTTCCCTCTCCGCCCGGAGCGCTCGGACCCTCCACGGGTCTGGGCGAGCGGCGGGACCCCAGTCCTCCGCCTCCCTCTCCAACTGGAGGAGCCAGCGCGACACACCTGGGCGCGGGGAGGCGGGGCGCGGAGGCTGCCGGCCAGATGGGCGAGGAGGAGAAGAGGGTGCTGGGGGATCAAGAAAGAGAGGAGCGAGACAGGGCGGCGGCATGTGGAGAGCGGAGTGAAGAGCCCTAAGACTGGGGCGGCATGGAGGCGGGGGCTGCGGGGGCCGGAGGCCGGCGCCTTGCGAGGAGAGGGCCGAGGGGACTCAGCAGGTTCTGAACGTGGCTGTGGGGGTCAGCGGGCTCGCGAAGAACGTGGGGGCTCGGTGGACCCCGAACAGAATGTTGTGGGGGTCAGCGGGGGATGTTGGGGGGCAGCAAGCACAGGTGGGGGATGTTGCCGGGTTTAGCGGGTCCGGAGGAAGGAAAACCGGGGTACCGAGAGTTGGGGCCGCGGTTGTTGGACAGTGGGGGACGCACCTTTCGGCGGGGCAGGGTGCCCCCGGACACAGCGAGCGCACGGTAGAGCTCGGCCGGGTGATAGTCTTCCAGCGC